ACAGCTGCATTTGCCAAGAAAAGGGATACTACATCCATACAACAGAGGTGCCTTCAGTATCTTTTCATGACACTGTCACACGTAAACAAAAAGTCTCAAAGAATGACCAACTACATTGTAGGAGAAAACCTTGCAAATAGAAATAAGCACTGATGCGAGGTAATATACAGAAGTAACCATTTGTTTAAGGCTCAATTTATTCTCCATTAAAACTCTCTTCTTTTAAAAGGCATTGAGTAGGTAATACTGAGTTTAAGTATTTAATAAATACAAGTTCAGAAATTGATTAAAGAAATCAATTAAAATATTAAAAATGAACTCTTGCATATTAGCCATTATATGAACTTAGAAAGCTATAAAAGGACTGATAGATAAAGAACAGATTTTAAAACTTATGGTAAACATGCTAAGCATTCTGATTAAGGTGTGTGGATCCTGGAGGCCACCAACCTTATGCACTTAGATGTATGGCAATGTGCTGTAATAGAGACAGGTTTACCAAGGCTCAGCTCTGCAACCTGGGCTGAAAGTTCTCCAAAGCAGCATCTGTGCAAGTTTCCTCTGAGTTTTATCTGCAATTTAAACAAAAAAAAACCTAATGAAAGCCATATTCAATACACATCCAAAGTGAATACATCTCCTTCCACTGTCTGGAACAGCCAGTTTTCCATCCTGAGCTCCAAAGCACTGTTACACAGCAACATTCCCAAATTCTCCACTAATCCTGGTAATACAAGAGGCAAGCAGGTAACAACTTACTGCTATTAACTTTGTAACAGCTGCTGCTGTGGGATATGAAATTGCATCTAACCATCTGAAAAAGCCAGGAAATCTAAATTATCCGGTACAGATTCACCAATGTAAAACTCAGTGAATGTGTAACACCCAGTAATAKAAAGCAATGGCATTTAGCACAAGTTCTGGGAACTGGCAGATGACACAACTAATTCAGTTTTGACATCTGAGCTCTCAGCAATCAGATCCTCTAAATGACTCCTAAAAAAGCCCCTTAGTATTCAGACAGCCTCAGCAAGGACAGAGCTGTACACCACCATCTTCAATCAAGCACACCAACATGTTACCAACAYGATCAAAACATCTTTGCATTTCAGATAACTTGCTTGTAGCTCCCAGGATTTAGCTACAGAGATATGCTAAAAGTCTCAGGCAAAGCTCAAAGTCTGTAGAAACCTGTCATATGCACATGCATGTACTTTATTCTAGCTTGACCCCTGGCTTTTCAGGAATTCTGAGGAGCCTTCTCAATTCTTGGACTAATACAGATCGACCCCAAGAGTTAGATCCACCCCAAAAACTTTATCTAAATCAAGCATTCAATAATGTGGCTGACAAAGAAYTGCTGGGAATAGTAAGARCAGAAAAATTTAGTSGCATTTTCTTCCACGTGCCTTTYAGCACCCTTGTATTTGMAGGCTAGGAACCTCCCAATTCAGAWTTGTTATCTTTCCATTTAACTTGTGTTTAGTTATCACAATTAACACGCTGTAGTACCTCATCTGACTTCACTTGCCTGTGATATTTTATAGAACTCTCTGGTCTCTTCTGTAAGCAGGCAGGAGAAAAGGGGAAGTTATACAATCTAGTACAACGAACATATCTGGGTTGCACAACCACATAGACCAGAAGAGAGTACACTTTCAGTTTTTACTCCTACAGAGGAATGCTCTTCCTTCAACCTTGCTAATACCAGTTACTCATGAACRGAGGGGACAGAAATCACTAATCAGCATCAGTCCTTCATCCCAACATTAAGGTGTTACCAGTCCTATTAGTACCAGAAAGACTTTTATGCACCAGCATTGCAACAGGTACTATATTTYAAAGAAGATTCAAAACAAGAAAGTGTCATACTGAAAATTCAGGAAATACTGGAGCAAGGAACATAAAGCACCTCCTAGACCTCTCCTATCTCTGAATGCAAGAACAAAACGACAGAAGACCAGTGCAGAAACAGGAAAGGGGAGRCAGGAAACAGGATGTGAGAACACCACACATTTTTAAAAGGAACTATGGGTTATACTGACTATGCAGTTATGTTCCATCCTTCATTTCACCCAATGCAGCTGACTGGAGCAGCAGCTTAAGCAAATCCTTCTAAAAAATGTCATGCAATAACCTACACATCATAGCTGACAGACAGGCTGAGRTATCAGTATCAAAAAGAGGTTAAGTGGCACCTATGAATTAAAACTGACACTGGAACAGCCTCAGGCAAAGCCAGGCCCAGCAAAAAAATCCACCCCTACCCCTCCTGTGGGTTTCTGCACCAGACCTGMAGGGCCACAAACTGCTGCTCTGTGAACTGACACACACCTAAGGCTCCTCCTGGACACAGCCAGGTTACAGAACTCAGAGATTATGACAATTATCCCAGGACACAACTGTAGCTCAAGCCCACTTCCTACACACAGGTTTTCAGACAGCTGATTCCACTTCCTCAGTTTCAATTTACCTAGGAGGGGTCACACCTAAAACAGAGGTTTGACAAGCAGCAATTGTTTCCTGGATCACAGATAAGAAGAAGGATTACGAAGCTKATTAGAGCTATCACAAGACATCATCAACACCTCTCCTACACCAGAGAACATCAYACAGAAATTATCAAGCAGCAAAGACTTAAGATAAAGTTAATGAGACCCTACATCTACTCAATCAAAGAACAAGGACAGAGTGGGAGCCAGGAAGAGGAAAGCACCCCAAAAGTGTGGGGCTGAAATAAAATATACAGAGCATGGAGCCTGWGAAGAGCCAGAATGAGTAATAAAAGTTCCAGACATGGCGAGAACTGGGCTGAATAGGGGACAGTCCAAGAAGGAAAAACTCGTTCGGCACGGGTGATGAGACTACACTGGGCAGAGGCAGCATTGCCCAGAAATAAGGAAGCAGTTTGCTGCTAAAGGCTTGGGATCACTGTGTTAGCCAGGCAGAAGGAAGGAGAGGAAATCTGTATCACAAAAACTTATGATCTACTCTCTCAAAAGCTCAGAAAGACTTAAGAATACAGATGTTTCTTCTGAAGCAACAACACSTTTAGGAAACCCACCAAATCTAGGCGTAAATTGCCATTCAAAGGAATAACATGTGGCCCTGTTGTACATGAATTTCACCTTTAAATGTGCTACTTAAGGGCTAAATCCAGAGGCAGACAGTTACAAAGCCTCCCTYAGAAGCAATCAATTCCTGAACAATAAATTTCAAGGATGAAAGGCCTGATTTTGTCAGAGTTTAAGACAGTAACCTGCACAAGATGAACCATTAGTACCCCAGGGGATTGCCATGCCCTTTGGCATGATATTTCTAGTCCACATTATCTTGTTTGTGAAGCTGCCTTAGAAATAGCTSCAACATTACATTACGATACACAATTCAGGAYATTACCCCTGCAGCACTCAATCTTAAAAAAAGCATAGTAATTTCTTAAATTAATTTCTTCCTAGAACTCCAYAGACTTGGAAAGTGTGATTAATGTACTAGGAAAGACTTTATTTGCATTTTTCTCTGCTCCAAAACAAGAAGTTGGCTCACCTTTCAGCAAGCAAAACTCAAACTTACACACGCCTCTTACACAGTGACAGACGCCCTTCCTAATTTCACAGAACTGGAGATAAAAACATCTTGTATTATCTGTAGCATGACAGTGCTAGGGCCACAAGCACCTAAAATTTTATATTCACAAAGCACTTGATAACAATCTCAAAGACAAGCTTTCAGACTTCACTCTCTGACCTTGCACTCAAGATTAAAGAGGATACATGGTCCAAAGCTTCCAGTAATAACCTATTTTCCYTCTTGTCACTCAGACACAAAAAGCTCCTTTGAGTTAAGCAAGTTACTAACATGGCAGTGGGAGTCTGAGCCTCAAGCAGTGCAGCTGTCAGGAGGGGCAGCTCCTTCCCCTGAATTTTCATRTCCTCCTTCATTCCTGCACTTGCCCTCGGAAATCACAGCAAGCTGTTTGCYAAGACAGGTCCAACAGACAACTGGAGGTCTGAGGGACCAGCTGGCTGTACACAGAGTACACCAATGGTGCTTTGCAGCAACATTGATTGGAGTCAGTGGTGAAACCAGACCTGCAACAGCTACAGGGGAAACAAGAGTGTGGCAGGGTCCAGAACTATCTTATGGGAATGCACATGGGGGAGGAACAGACCCTTTCAGAGTCAGGTGAAAAAGGTGCTGAAAAACACGTGTGAAAGGCCAAAGGCAGCCGTTCTGAAGGAAAAAAGTAACAATCAAAGCAACACCTGACMCAGGGGAAGCTGTACAGAGGCCCCTCTGATCGCTGCACTTTCGTCACACCTYTTATGAGTCACTGGGAAAGGAGAGTTGTGCATTGGGAAGCCATTTTACAGTATGCTCTCTGCTCTGGAGATTTGAGATGAAGAGCACTTTGTGCACGCCCTTGACTATTACATGTGGGCTTTGAGCCACTTCTCACCACTCAGGGTGGTTCTCTTGCAAGAGAAACTTATTCCACTGATAAGGCAGAAGGGTACTCCAAGTGCAGCCAGTTTCTTTACCACAAAATCTTATTTCTTCTAAACAAGTTCCAAGTCTTCTCAGAAAAACTAYTGGGAAACTTGGTCACAATAAACCCAATGAACTCCAAGATAATTTCCATTACTTGAAAGTAATTCAGGTACCAGCTACAAGAATGAGCCCACTGCAACATCACAAAACATTATTCAGAATAACGTAACATCAAATACAGCACTGACAGTCAAAACAGGTGCAGATGAGATCATTCACTTTATGTCATTGTAAAATCACTGCACGCAAATGCAGCGTTCCCTGATGAATCCTACTGAGGTAACACAAGAAGTCCATTTGACTCAAATAACCATGTGCACAAGCTCCAATCTCCTTTGGAGGATGTCTGCCTCCAGGTTAGACTGCCTCATTTCAGACTTTCTGTCACTTTATCTCTTAATTAAACACCATGTTTGGGCACCTCAATTAGTTATGACTGCTCCACCAACCTGCTCTGTATGGCCATGGTTGAGGTTTTTCTTAATTTCTCTCACTGGACGATGCAAGTTGTACAACAYTGATCTTGTTTTTCAGGCAGGGAGGCATAGTTCATTTGCCTGACGATCTCAGCAAACAGTTCATCCACCATTGTTTTGCTCTTGGCTGACGTCTCCATGAAGGGGCAACCCCACTCCTGAGCCAGGGCTCTGCCTTCTGCAGATAAGACCTCCCTCTCCGACTCCAGATCCACTTTATTCCCCACTAGGATCAGAGGAACTTTCTCGTATCTCTTCACCCGGACAATCTGGTCCCTCATCGGCTTGATGTCCTGATCAAACAATCCAACTGGTTAGTACATGCAAGGAATCACAGGGAATTGCTACARAACCACTACAGAAACACATTTTAATAACCCTCACATGCAAGTGAACATTAAAAATACATCACAAGACTTCTTAAACTCATAGTCACATAGATCTAGAACTCAAGAGAAAATTTACTACCTATCACTAAGTTATTTTTTCTTTTATATAAATGCATACACACTTTATATAGAATTTATGTGCATATACAAACAGAAAGTGCCTGCTGTGCTCTCAGGCAGTCGGTTCWGCCAGAGGAGGACACAGTATCACTGCTCTGAAGGCTGGTTTCAGCTTTCTGAAGAAGTTGTCTCAAGTCTAAAGACCTGTAACCCTAGCAGGGGCATGCCATTACACAACCATTTAGGAAGTTTGTGCTTAGTTTACAGCTTGAGAAAGCCAGCAATTTAAATAAAGCCTTCTCACTCCTGGAATGCTTAGAATAATTCATTGTGAACACATTTAATCACATGTAAGTAACCAAATTAGATGTTGTAAAGAGATTTTATTACCTAGAGATGCATTTATTCAAGTCTGAGCCGACATGGGGAGTTTACATTTGAAAGTCTGAGTCAGCCTCCTCTGCCCCCTGAGTGTTTTAAGTTACTATCAGTACTACAAATTCTTGCATAGTTCTGAGACAAAGCAATCCCAGCGTTTGAAGTTTCCACTGTGTAAAGAACTGCAGAGTGGTTTACACCTACAGCCTTGAGAGCAAACACACTACAGACAGACGGGAATAATTAAATATTAACAGGGTGGATTACTGTACATCCATTCCTCAAATAGTGCAGGCTCACTGGAACCCAAAAAATCAGTGAAAATGAGAGCAGAAGCATCCCAATGTCACTGCTGTTGTTTTCCAGAGATAACCATGMCTTCAGTTTGCACAGGGCTGCTTCGAGGCCTCTGCTAAGATAACGTTTAGCCTTCAGCAGAAGCAAACAGTGGGGGTGTGCAAGGTCTTGCCAAGCAGCTGGAACACACCCAGCTCAGCAGCCCAAGCCAAGGCAGGAGTTGCAAATCCCTTCGCTGCACACAGTGCTGCTAAACTCACGTATTGCCCAAAAATAAAGCCCCGTTTCTACAGGCAGCTCASACCAGTTACTGGCTAAGATATTTCCGCATTTTGGAAAGTTTTAATAGTTTAATAGAAATCAAATCCAGACCCACAAATTATCGTGTGTATCTGGTTTTCCTCTCCAGTACTCCACCTACGCTGTGAGAGCATCGAGCTCATGCTGGACAGGAATATATTTTGGGGAGAGGGGGCGGAAAWTAGGAGCTCACTTAACAAGTCACAACTGCAGAACAATGAGACTCTCTTCAGGAGCAACTGCAGAAACATGCCTTTTAGGAAGGAGAGGGGGYTGGAAGGGGAAGTCTCGCTTTTAATATCGAGTGATTTCTTCACAAAAGGGGATTGCCAAGAGATTTCTGTTGGGGAAGTGGGGGCTGGTCATTGTTCTCCAGCACTGCGTGGGATTTAACAATGGTGGCACYCTGATCAGTACCTGCAAAGCAAGCAGTTTTCCATCAGGAAGCAGGGCTGGWAAACGCGCTTTCAAGCTGGGCATTTACACTTTCGGCCCTTCGGAGATAAAGAACCTCCACGCACACGTGGCTGCCCCTAAAACTTCCTCCTCGGCCCAGCGCCTTCCCCGGGGGAGGGACGGCTCCGTCCGAGGACGGGACGCCGGGCGAGGTTACCTGGAAGGACTGCTGGTTGACCAGGCTGTAGACGAGGATGAATCCCTGCCCGTTCTTGATGTAGAGGTCGCGCATGGAGGCGAACTGCTCCGTCCCCGCCGTGTCCAGGATCTCCAGCACCGAGGGGGACGAGTCCACCTCGATCTCCTTGCGGTAGAAGTCCTCGATGGTGGGGTCGTACTTCTCGATGAAGGTCCCGGTGACGAACTGCACCGTCAGGGCGGACTTCCCCACCCCCCCGCTGCCCAGCACCACCACCTTGTACTCCCGCATCGGGCCCCGCTCGCCGCTCCCCGCCGGGCCCGGGCCTAGGGCAGGCGGCACCGCGGCCCTCGCATAGCCCCGGCCCGCCTCAGGAGAAGGGCGAGGCCCCGCTGCTCCTGCGCCGTKCTGGGGGGAGCGAGCCCCCCGTCAGTGCCCGGCGCGGCCCCGGCCCCGCTGCGCTCCCTCACCGCCGCGCTCCCGCCATCGCCGCCTCGGCCGCGGGACCCGCCCGCCAGGGCCACCCCCACCCGGAAGGATTTTGCTGAGGCACCGGAGGCGGCCCCGCCCCGCCCCGCCGCCGYCCGCTCACTTCCGGCGTGCTGCGTCACGGCCCGCCCGAACTGCGCCCGGGGGGGCGGTTTTCAGTGTGGCACCGTGGCACACGCGTTGMTGGGGGACGGGTTTCAGTGTGGCACCGAGGCAGCCGCGCTGTGCTGGGGGACAGGTTTCCGTGTGGCACCGGGGCACATCCCTGGCCGGCCCCCAACATGGCGGCCTCGCGGTGGTGGGCGCGGCTGAGGGATCGCTCTGTGAGGGGCGCGCTGCTCCTGCTCGGCACTAGACAACTTGAACTCTTTAAAAAACTCCTCTGAGATCCCTGCTGGGCACAGCCCCGCCGGGAGGGGAGCCGGGCTGTGACACCGGCACGGCGGTTCTTCATCCCTGGGAGCCCGTTGGGCTGGTGACAGAGGGTCACCAGGGTGATCACAGGGGTGGAGCACCTCTAATATGAGAAAAGAGTGAGAGAATTGGGATTGTGCAGCCTGGAAATGAGAAAGCTTCGGGGTGATTTAATTGTCTCTTCCACTGCCTGAAGAGAGCTTACAGGAAAGACAGAGAGGGACTGTTTACAGATATATGTGGTGACAGGAAAGGGGCAATGGGTTCAGACTGAAAGATTAGATTAGATATTAGGGGAAAATCTTTACTGTGAGGTGATGGGGCCCTGGCACAGGGTGCCCAGAGAAGCTGTGGCTGCCCCTGGATCCCTGGCCGTGCCCAAGGCCAGGCTGGACATTGGGATTGGAACACCCTGGGATGGTGGAAGGTGTCCCTACCATGGCAGGGGTGGAATGAGAACATCTGCAAAATACCTTCTGAAAGGAATGAGAAAGGAGTGTCTTTACAAATACATTGATTCTAGGGGTAAGATAAGGCTGATATTAGGAGATAGAAAGAAACAATGGAAAGGATTTCCATAAGAATTCATTTGATTGACTTATTTTAGATTTTGTTAATGGACTATAAGAGCAGAGATATAGAGATGTATATTGAAAGGGGGCAATGTATGATAGAAAGGGGGGTTTTATTAGGTGTTTTGGGGAGCTTGTRCTKTKCAAGTACTTTAGTTAATAGGGAAAGAGAKAGGGAATTGTGGCTGAAAAATTAGGATAAAAAGAGGCTGTGTCTTCTATGAATTTGAGAGACTCCATGAAAAATGCTTATGACTTCTCTTTTTATTCATGAATAAAGTTGTAAGACTCTTCTGCCTTTTTTAGACATAAATTTCTAGCACTTGTAGATTAATTTTCTTAACAATTTGGGGGCTCGGTCCGGCAACCCAAACCACTCTGTGACCCTGTGAAAGCTCTCACCTCTACCTGCGAGGTTTATCCGGTGCCTTCACCYCTCCCCGGCTGCCACACGCTTTGGCAGAGCTTTGCCTTTGTCTCCTCGCTTTTCTCCGGATCCCTTTCCACGCCAGCCGTCCCAGAGTGGCCCGAGTGTCCCGGCTGTGCTCAGCTCACGGCTCCGAGCAGGGCGGACAGCAGGTGTCAGCACGGCACCGGAGCCATCCCTATCCCTATCCCCATCCCCATCCCCATCCCTGCCCGCCCCGAGCCTCCCCCGGCGATCGGAGCAAGTAAATAAAGAGAATCGATGTCTGTTTTCTTTCTAAAATGAAATCCCCCCCCAGCCGCTTCAGACCCAGCTCTGTGATTCCCACCCTTAGGAGAAGCTGCCCTCTAATATAACTAAATTTGTTTCTGCTGCTTCCTGCGGTCTGCACAATTTCAGCAGGCACGTGTGAAGTGCTGGATTTGTCCCTTTGCCCTCCGCATCGCCTGTTTGATTGCAAGTCCAGGGCAGACACAGAGCCTGGTCAAGGCTAAAACCGTCCAGAGGCACTGAGGAGGTGACTCTGCTTGTGGCTGGTTTCACAAACAGCTTTATTTTATTCATTTCTTTTCCATTTTATTCATTTCCTTTCTCTTTATCCATAGAGAGAGCATGTCCATTGTGGGAAGAGGTCACTGAGGACTTTTATCCTCAAATCTTGCTTAAGTTACACCAAATTCAATTCACTCTTCTTTGTTACATGTAAGTAAAAACCCCTCTCCTTGCTTTCGCCGTTGCCTCCAAAATTGTGTTGTCAAGTGAATCGCTGGCAGGAGGCAGACGTGCCTGGATGGAAGATTTTCATGTGGCTGGTGAATCAGCTCCAAAATGTAAAAAGGTGAGCATTAAAACAGGCTGCCTCCTACTTCAACCCCATTAGAAATCACGAGTTGTTGCAAAGTACCTTAATGCACTCAGGGTGCTYGGGATAAAGGAGAGCCGCGGTTGCTCCCAGAGGAGCTTCCCATCTAATTTTAACCATGACACAATCGGCGACAGTGACAAATGGGGGGAGGGAGAAAGGGGGCAAGGGAGGATGAGGGTGACAATAATGAGATTACACGGTCACTTAGGTTCATTATCTGCACGTCTTTGTGCCACTGCTGGTCCATTATGTTTGTGATGGGTGGAGGAATGACTGCGGGAGACGAAGGGGGCAAAGAGCACAGCGGGAGAAAAGCCAAATATATTTTTGTGCAATTGACTTTAACCAACAACGCCTTGCTCTTGGGCTGAGAGGAAGCCCAAGCAGGTGGCCACGGGATTGGGAAAATGGATTTTTTTACCTCCTTCAGTATCGATTTGGATTCCCAAGATTCATTTCCCAACTCACAGCATTTTATACCTGGGCATAGATTTCTGCAGCTGAAAGAGAAGGCGGATCTCAAAGTGCACAGGTTGTTCGTTATCCTTGAGACGAATCATTCCCTTGGTTAAACAGTTTGCACAGCTCTTTCACCGCCTTGTGCCCCGCCACATATCCCGAGCCACAAAAATAGCTGGTGATGTAAAAGGTTTTGAAACTCKGGATGRGAAGAGCTGCTTCTGCCATAAATGGCCAAGCCCTGAGCCGGCCAGGCAGGGCAGCTCCTGCCGATACCGCCCCTGCCACTCCCTGGCTGTCACCATCCCCTCCCGGCGAGGTGCGGCACATCCCGGGTCAAAGGCCTGATTTAATCTCTGCTGCCACTTTCTCCACGGCTCCTGCCAAGGAGAAAGGAGCAGGGCTCAGCCCTCGGTGCTGCCCCAGGAGGGTTTGCCCTTTCTCAGCAAAACAACCTTCCCAAATGAACATCCGGGCAGGATTCGATTGCTGCCAGAGCAGCTCTGTGCTGCTGATGGACTCAGCTGCTCTGTGCTCTGCCTGCAGCCAGCAACAATAAAGCAGGCTCTTATTAAATTAACCTGCTAAGACACAGATCCTGCAGGGATGTTCAGGGAACAGACAGATGGCACAAGCAAGGGCCAGGAATAATTGCAATCCCCATCTCACCAATGTGAGAGATGAATCCTGCCCGGTGCTGTGCCCAGCAGGGAGGAGGAACTGGGAGCAGCACCCTGAGAGGTGACAAAGGAGCATCTCTAAGCCGTGGGTGGAGTGAGGAGTCTGGAGCATGTCCTGTGGATGCCAGGGTGGGTCTGCACCACCCCCAGCAGCCAAAGCCTCCTCACTGCAGTCACAGCGTGGGCACTGCGCGGCCACCACCGCCTCTCCGTGCTGTCCCCGCTGCCACCATCGATCAACTCTCATTCCCTGTGTCTGCCCCAGCTGCAGRCCAGGCTCTCCTCTGCCAGGAAGCCTGCAGCAGGCTGCTGAGCCAGGGCAGCAGGSATAGCCCGGATTTCACCTCACTTACCGTCTAGCTGGGGACATCATTTGCGTAAATACATGCAAAACCAGCTTAAGACCCAGTGTCGTTTCTCCTTCSCCTCTTCCAGAGGTTTTGCTAATCCACTTATTGTGCCTTATGGTGTTCAGCATGGAAGCTGCAGGGCAGGGACAGGCTCCTCAGGGCTCAAATGACTGCTGGAGCACCGGGGGCTGATCGTTCAAGGCGGTGGTGTCACAACGGTCACGTAACTGCAGTGATGGCTTCTGATCTCAGCACTGTCAGGTTCCAGTGAAATGYGTCTTAGGGGCTGGATGTGTCCACCTGGCCCAGACTCCTCAYTCTGAACCTGCAGAGATACTTTTCTTTTTTGCCAGCTTTTCCTTCCAATATAGAGATGACTCAGAGGCAAATCCTGAAGACCTTTCTCAGAAATTTCTGATTTTCTGCCATCCCTCAGCTTTTAGTCATTACTTTCATAGCCACAAAAGGCATGATGGGGCTTCAAAAGAGGCAAAGGCCATTTTCCAAAGCAATTGCTGATTTGGAAGGAAAAGTAGGGCTGCACWGAAATATAATTGATACAACAAGGAGGCTGTTGGGATTTCTGGGAGGAGAAGCATCCCAGAGGGGTTATCGCCTCTGATGCTGCATCTCCTGCCCGCAGGATCAGCATCCGAGCAGGTCTCTGTGTCTCCGGGTGCTGATGAGTCACTGCTCCGTGCAAGTGAGCCGGAGGTGCAGCCAGAAATGAGGTTTCACGGGTCATTCCTCTTCCTATTTTCTCCAGACGTCGAGCTCTCTCCTCGTTGCCCTTCACAGTCCGAGCTGCTGTAATCCTTTCTGCAGTGCCTCCAGCTATGGCTCACCGGCTCTGGGCTGGGCTGCAGCTCCCTGGCTCCCAAAATTGTCCTGTCCTCCTCACACCTGACACAATGCCACCCTCTCCTCGGGTACCACACATTTGTGCAGTGCTGATGGGATGGGGCTGTCTTCAGATTTGCCCTTGTTAATCCCCAACACATGGGACAGCCTCTTCCTGGAAATACATATACATACATATTTTAAAATTTCTAGCCAACAGTAGAGTAAAACTGGAAATGCAGCTCCTTAGGGCTAAAGGCAACAGTGAACACATAAACCAAACCTGTTGCTTTAAACCCCAAATGAAAAGAAAGGAGGGGGGAAGTCAAATACTCTGTCAAGGTATATTTTTAAGATTTGTGAAAATAAAGCAATTTTAAGCTGGCGTTTTACAGAAAGGTACCCATTTGCTTTTAGAATTCCAC